TTTCTCACGTTTTCTCTGCTGTGCCACTTAGCATCTATACAAGGAAGGGGTGAGAGGGAAGAATCAAATGCTTTTGAGATCTAAAATCACTTCGTAATTTCACATAAACAAATGTAATATAAAAAGGGACTAAGATTTCCAAGGCAGAAATGCAATCAGGGAAGTGATGAGGCAAAATGGAGGACAAAGAACCTTAATATGTTGAAGGTTTCACCTACTATTGTCTTTTTTTTGCCCACTCTTGCTGACAGTGTCAAGAACAAGAGAATCTTAGCATGAGAACCTGTAACTTTAGAATACTCAATGGCGATTTGTTGCAGAAATTTAAAAAAAAAATTAAATCAAAAAAAGTTCATTTGTCTAATATTTCAAATTTAGCAAACAATATAATAGAAATGCGCCACTAACCCTCACACTGCACTCGTTGATGGTAAGATGGCGTGCAGAGTAAAACTACTTATAGTACAAGGGGGGTCAAGGGGAATAGGTGAATGAAATTAAGTGCTCAAGTTCAATTACCTTCTAACTCCTTCTTGTCCACATTTATTTCAAGGGATTTCGCACACGCAAAGAACCCAATCATGAGTTGGTATGGCATGCTGCTCGGTCCAACTGGAAACCAAGCGAATGAAACGATACTTTTAATGGACAGAAGTTGTAAAAACTAAAATCTATAAATTAATCAAGAGAAAAAGTCATAAAACACACAACCCCCACCCCCCGTTAAAAAAAAAAAAAAAATCCACCCACCCTTGCGCGCGCGCATACTCACATTAGTTATTTTGAAGGCTGGCTAAAAATTGAAAACCAAATAGTTATTGTAAGTCAATACATATTCAAGACGTGAGCAGCTACGGCCAAGGTCAAACCCCCACCCACAACAACTGATAGACTTGCATGTTACAACTGAATGAAGGACAACAATGCCATGATATAACCCAAAATGAAAAATAAATTAAAATTTGAGGAACACATTGACATGCTAATCCAAAATAAAAATAAATGAAAATTTGAGGAACACATTGACATCCTTCATTAGCCAGATGACTAGGCAAAATCAAGCAAGGATGTTTGAAAGAATCAAAATTCTAGTGAAAAAAAAATACAAATATGCCGACATAGTACAAACATAAATTAAGCTCAAAAGTCTAATGACTAAACAACATCCAATTGCAATGACATGTTTGATGGAACTGAGCTCTTGTATTACTAATGCTTCAGTTTAATGGTCAGTTACAACCTCTTTAGGTAGAGAGAGAGAGGAAAATGGGAACCAATCTCCTCTGTCGCTTTCTGGAACATTCTTCATGAATGTTTTAAGAGGCTTTGTGTTCAAGACATGGGATGATATACTCTCTCCTTTGAACCATCCCCCCCCCCCCCCACAAAAAAAAAGGGCAAAGAGGAAATGGAAAACAGTAACTAACCTAGCTGGTCACAGTAGTCAATAACTGTTGGATGACGTCTTTAGGCCTTACCCTGAGCCTAATTACTTTATGTTAACCTAGCTTAAACCTAATTAGTTTTCTGACCACATATCCCATATTATATGTGGTTAGACTAAATCGATTTCAATATTTATTTTCTGTTTTTATTTCTTTCCTGATATTGCAGGCTCCCTCACTTTGTTCTATATAACTCTGCATGGTGCACGAGTATGAATAAGAGTCATTACTAGCCATGACTCAGAATCAACTCTAGTTCAGTATGGACAATGCCCTCCATGGTGCCCAGCGGTCTATTGGGCTCATCACATGTTTTCTTTCTTCAATAGTTACAAACTATTAAACACAATATCTCATATAATTAACACAAGAATGAACTACAGAAGCATGGACTTAGAGCAACACCAAAGCATGTAGGATAAATCATACCAGGCCAGGGCTGAGAACTGTGATACGCCACTTCTCCCACTTCAATACCAGTCTCCTCCCATGTTTCTCTTCGCACAGCCTCCTCTAAACTTTCTCCTGGCTAAAGGAAACGAGAATACAAGCTAAAAATGTCTTAGACATGGAGAAAGGCTAAATTAAAACAACTAGGAAGAAGGTAGTGTCCATGCATAAAATGGATCCTCAAACCAATAAAACAAGGATTTATTTCCCTTGCATGAAAAAGTCTGAACTTTCAAGAGTTCAACGTCTGCAAGCACAAGCTATACTCACCTCAAATGTAATGCCAAAGAATGCAAGAATTTTCAGAAATCAGATTATATTAACAGCAGATCCATCAGATCTTCACAAGGAAGAGTCATTTGAGAAAGAAAATAGTTAGGTCATTTGGGTTGCTGGCTATTGTTATACATGATACTCAAACATACTTCCATTTATTCTATTATTTAGTCAACTTAAAATTCATTGGGAACCAGTAACGTCATTCAGTTTCATGGATTTGCCTGAGGAAATTAGCGTCTTAGCTCTGTATTTTATTCATGTAATTGTGTTTTACATTTATAGAAGAGAATACGAGATGTTAGGTTTATCATGTTAGGTTTATCATACAGATACCCAATCGGATGTTGTGATTGAATCTGATTTAGGAATTATTGAGGAACAGATTTGAAGCTCCCAAGATTATGGAAACAGGAAATATAATCAGAAAATAAATGACAATTAATTACGACCAACTAATTCTAGTTTAGTGGACCTGGCCTAGCACATCTTGAAGCCTTCCACAACCCCCACAAAAAAAAAAGAAAAAGAAAAGCCAGTGAACAGATATTCATCATTCACAGCTTGCTTGTCAATTCTTCAAACTTAGGCTTTGCAACAGGTTTGGGGAGTACATCCGCCACTTGACGCCTAGTGGGTATGTAACACTCCTACAATCTTCCCTTCTATCTTCTCATTGATGAAATGGCAATCTATTTCAGCATGCTTCCTCCAATTACAATTAACAAGATTCTTTAACAATCCTGGTTGTTACCATATTGTCAAATTGGACTTTAATTGGACCCTCATAGTCCATCTTCAGTTCCTTGAACAATCTTTCTAGTCAAAGGCCTCCACAAAGACCTAGAGCTAACAACTACAAGTTGTTTCTTACACTACAAATTACAAGATTCCCCCATATACAAATGTGCAATAACTTGTAGATCTTTCATTTGTATCTGATCCGGCCCAATCGACATCTTTGTAATCTTCAATTCCTTTGTGAGCTCCCTTCTTGAAGTAAATTCCTTTTCCTAATGCAGACTTATGATATAGTAAAATTCTGAAGATAGCAGTCACATGGTCCTTGTTAGGTCGATAAGAGAACTGACTCGCTACACTTACAGCATGAATAATGTTTGGTTGTGTGTGGGAGAGATAAATTAGTTTGCCAACCAATCGTTGATGTCTTCTCTATCGACTTATGGGCTATCTTCATTTAGTCCAAGCTTGCAATTCAATTCCGCAGGAGTAGCATACAACCTACAACCAAGGATCCCCATCTCATGTATCAAACCGAGCGCATATTTTCTTTGTGTTTTGTGTAACGATAACCCTTGTCTTTGATCTAGCAACCTCCATTCCTAGGAAATATCTCAGACTTACTGGATCCTTTATAACAAACTCATACCCTAACATCCTCTTGAGTCTATCTATTTCAACTGCATCATCACTAGTGAGTATAATATCATTGACAGACAATTAGGATAGCCATCTTAACACCCCTATGTTTAATGAACAAAGTGTAATAGGATTGACACTGCAAATAAATATTCTTCTTAGCAACCTAAGTCGAGCATTCAAACCAAGCACTTGGTATAAAAATTCATTCGATTTCAACTGCATCATACTTATGCTTTAGGCCATACAACAGTTTCTTGAGCCTGCAGACTTTATCCTCATTTTCATTATTCTTGAACCCTGGGGAAATCTCCATGGATACCTCTTCTTCCAAATTACTGTTTAAAAAGGCATTCTTACCATCTAATTGATATAATGATCAATCAAGATTGGCAGCCAAAGAGAGAAGTAACTTAATGTTGTTGAATTCTCACTTTTTCATATTTTGAATTTAAACCAAAGAGAAACTCATAAATTCTGCCTTTACCAATTTCTAGTTGTAGCATGTCTTGGCTGTACACATCCATATATGATTTGTGTATAGATCAATCTACTATCAAAATTTTGTCATTGCATTGTAATATAAAGTGACTATCATAGTCCCCTGTTTCAGTTAATGAAGCATCCCTTCAATCTCAAACAATATTGTAGTGTTTGAAGCAAAGAAAACTCTCGAGTAGCGTCCCAAAATTCTCATGTAGTCTTATAGGAAAAAAATTCTTCCCAATGTCATTGAATTGACCAGCCAGGACATGACTTGGCTGCTCTTGACTCTCCAAGTAGCGTGTTTGGGATCTATTGCGACCAGAAGAGGTGAAGGCCTTTGATGTAGTCTTCTCTTCCATGGCCTTGAATGAAGATGAGGAACATGAGAGACCACTGAGATAGTTCTCTCCATCAAGCTCATGCAATGTAATCAGATTTGCCAACTTGTGTGACTGGGTAGAGCTTCCAATAAGTGGTTGATTGAGCCCAATTCTTCCCTGTCTTTTCATATTATTTTAGGGCTTTTATCATAGGTTAGTGGTTCTTTTAGTGATAATTGTGCTTAATTTAGATTTAGAGTCTCTTATTTGAGTTAGTGTCTTTGTGAGGATAAAATTGTCATAATTGGTTATTAATTGTATTCAATTGATTTTTAGGACAATTAATGCTTCAAATTGTTGCTTTTCATGGTAGGACACTTGAGAATTAGAGCCAAGATTGAAGACCAAGAGATTATACAACACAAGACCCAGAATATTGGTTCTGGAATCATCACCGTAGCTAAGAAACTATGTGCCAGTGCGCAAGTGTGAAAATGTGTTCAGTGTCTATCGAGAATCCTTCGTCGCGGCCACAATTATTCTCTGTCATGGCAACCTTGCAAAAATTTTATTGGAGTTCCTCTCAGGATATTGTCACCGCGGCCAACTTCCCCTATCGCTGCGACATAATCGGCAGTTCCAGACCCCTTTTTGTCTTAGGACACTGTCGCGGCGACAAACATTCCCCTTCGTCACGGTGAAGGCCTCGAATCAGCAAACCAGATTCGGATCATAAGCGTGAAAATAGAGTACCCACTCACTAGATCTGACTCATTTCAGTCCCATAAACCCTTAGAAACCCTATTTTTGCCAGAACACACCATTCACTCATCCACAACCTCCTCCCTTCGTCCTCTCCCACTCTCCTTCACCAAATCTTCATCTCCTTCCATTTCTCCTTCATTTTCCACCATGGTAACTCAAAATTACTGCTGGTTATGGTGTTTCTTGCTCCAATGCGTGGCTAGGCATCTGTTCTCTTGAAGATGAGTTGACTGGCGTGAGTTCCAAGAGCTTTAAAGGCAAGTTGGCTTCATCTATAGTTCTAGTTGTTTATGAATTCCTAGATCCAGGGTTTGTAAATTCTGGCTAAGCTATTTTGATTATGGTTGTAATCAATTTTGGATGATTATCGTGTATTTTAGATTTGTTGAATGTGAGCTTCAACATATGTGATTACATATATGTTTTTTTGCAACTCTTTTGATACTCCCTTTCTTGCATGACATTGTTTGATTTTTGAGTTAATTTGGATTTGTATTAAACCAAGTGTATTAATTAATCCTAATACACACACTAAATGAGCTTAATAGGATTTTATGAGATGGGTGGCCATTGATTAAGATCCCAAACTTAAAGGACATTTTAAGGTTTTTCATTTACAAAACTTAGTAATTTCTACTCCCAAAATCATTTTGAACTATGATTGCTAAGATCCATTTTCAAGAGGTTTCATCAATTGTTTTCAACTTGTTTTCCATTCGTTCCATTTTAATTTCCCAAAAATTCAAGAAGTATATTTACATTGCATTTTACCTCAATTAATAGCTTTAATGAAAACCCCCCAACTTTTCCCTAGTCAATTTGCATTTTTTGGCATTTAGTAAACTTAGGATCAATAACTAAAGCTTTGACAAGAGAAATGACCTAGGGTTACACCTTATAGTGCAATCCTTGGATTAATTTTGTATTTAACCCCAATGCACTAAGTGAATGTTTAAATTAGTGGTCCGCACTAGTGTTGCTTGCACTTTGAAGGGCATCCTTTGTTACAATGTTTAACACTTGGTATTTGTCGAATTGGATGTTTTCGACAGCCATGGCTCTTATACCATGACAGTTGGCTGAGGAAATTAGTGTCTTAGCTGTATATTCTATTCATGTGACCATGCGATACATAAATAGAAGACAATAGAAGATGTTATGGTTATCATAGATGTTACTAGAGGGACTTTATTGTGTAGACCACTACTCAAGCAAGCAAAATAAAGCATATTCTAGAACCTATGCAGCAGAAAAGGAATTAGTGACTCAATTTTCAAATAATAAAGCTTGTTATGGCACTGTAGGTTAAGTCACCCCATGTTCAGATTGTTCCCAAATTCGATCAATAAAAATATTTGGTCTATTCCTTGTGAGGTGTGACAACTCTCTAAACACACTAAGAACAATTACAAAACACATTCTCATCAATATACTTACCCTTTTTCTCTCGTGCATAGTAACATATGGGACCCTGCTCACATTCCCATATTAACAAATGCCAAATGGTTTGTAACACTAATTAATAATCACACACGGGTTACATGAGTATTTCTCATGAAAGAAAAATCTGACCTCCCTCAAATTATCATAAACTTCCACAAAATGATCAAAACCCAGTTTGATACTTCCATAAAAGTTCTTAGGAGTGACAATCGGAGGGAATACATGAATACTCATCTCCAAACTTACCTAAACAGCATGGTATTGTACATCAAATAAGCTGTATAAATACACCAGAGCAAAATGAAACAGTTGAAAGAAAGAATTGTCACCTCCTAGACGTTAGTCGAGCAATAATACTGACCAACAACATACCAAAATTTTATTGGGGAGAAGCCATTCTCATTGCCAC